TCAATAAAAGTTACAGAGGATTGTTTTGGGACCACAATGTGAGATTATTGGTAACGGCAATATCGCGAAAGGTGACTTAATTTACAGCTCAACCATTTTGGTTGGAACACTCATCTGCATTTCTTTGCATCATATTCCTTGTTGTATTCAACACCTTTTGCCTTTGCTTTGTCATACCCAGAGTACAAACAGTGTCGCAGGATTTCCTGACAAACTTATCCATAAATTATCTCGTACCTTGAACTTTGATCCATGATATAGCAGAAAAATATGTTATAAGGGGTATAGAAGCCAGGCCTTCAGAGGTTTACACTGGAAAGTACTGAAACTCATAAAGAGATGTAAAATGGCGATCGAAAAGTAGAAAGAAGTGATACGTATTTATTGCATTTCGAAAGGTTTCGATGGGAATTTCTCAAGGTAAACATTTAATACCTGGGTATCCATGATTTATTGCACAAAATTGTTCCTAAGTCAATTGCTACGGCCCGGCGGGCTTTTTCTAGAAATAAAACACTTGCCTGGTATTCTTTTCAACTTGTCCCAGGCGTCCGGGCCTAATATTTGTCGGACCCTGCAGTCAACAAGCCTTGACGTAACATACACATACCTGTGCAAGATCATCCTTGTAAATTCCTCGCTTCAATCTGACCCACTGTTTAGGTNTCTTTGCATCGTATTCAACACCTTTTGCCTTTGCTTTGTCGTACCCAGAGTACAAACAGTGTCGCAGGATTTCCTGACAAACTTATCCATAAATTATCTCGTACCTTGAACTTTGATCCACAATATAGCAGAAAAACATGTTATAAGGGGTATAGCAGCCAGGCCTTCAGAGGTTTACACTGGAAAGTACTGAAACTCATGAAGAGATGTAAAATGGCAATCAAAAAGTAAAAAGTGATACCTACTATTGCATTTCGAAAGGTTTCGATGGGAATTTCTCAAGGTAAACATTTAATACCTGGGTATCTATAATTTATTGCGCAAAATTGCTCCTAAGTCAAAATTGCTACAGCCCAGCGGGCTTTTTCTAGAAATAAAACACTTGCCGCTATTCTTTTCAACTTGTCCAAGGCATCCAGGCCTAATATTTGTCAGACCCTGCAGTCAACAAGCCTTGATGTAACATACACATACCTGTGCAAGATCATCCTTGTAAATTCCTCGCTTCAATCTGACCCACTGTTTAGGTTTGACAGACACAACCTCTTTGACGACTTTCATTACATCAGTCATTTCCTTGATTGGAACCATCATTTGTTGCCATTTGCCAAGTCGTAGTGTACCAAACCCCTCAATGGCCTACATGAAAACAATATCATGACTTTTTAATTTGAAGTATTTAATTCAAACACTCTTTGACTTCATATATTTAATTACAATGATGTAACCTTTTTCATTTCATTTGCTTTAATTTGTTTTTCCTTGAAGTATCAAGAGTCAGAGTGCATATTTACGTATACTCTATCTTTAAGGGTTTTCATATTCCCAACAAATCCAAATATTTAGGAATACCTATGATCCAAAGAATATTAATAATAGTGAGTGTTTAAAGGGATTACTAAAATTCTGTACCATACAGTAAACACCCACATATAAGAACACACAATTTCAGAGGTCAGACTGATTGTGTTCTTATTTATCGG